TTACTTTACGTATAAACTAATATTACAAAGAAAAAAAAAAACTGCATTAATGTGTCATTCTGTAACTGTCATTAAGTTAACAACCCTCTAACTTCCCCTTATTGTCTTCTGACTTTCAAAAGCAAAAAAAGGGAAGAAAAACAAATATTAAATAAATTTTCAATATCATAACAAGCGAAAAAAAAAAAACTTGAAAAAAAAGAAGTGCATAAATGAATAGACATCAGGATAACAATGAAAGGATGTTCTCAACAATGATCATCGTTGATCTTCAATTAATACACTGAAGGATAAAAGCATTAAAAAAAAAAAAACAGAAACTAGGAAAGTATAAAAATTGAAGTGAAAAAACATAAAACATCAAAACAAAAAAAGGAATCAAATTTGAAAGTTACCGTAAGTAAATCGTCGTCAAATTTTAATGGTGTTTTCTTCAATGAAATATTGATATGTTCCAGTAACATGACGGCAAGAAATACTTAATAGAATCTCGAAAAAAAAAAAAGTTCACTGTTCACCAATAATATTATACAGTACCGCTGCTATACTATTACTTTCAGATGATTTTGACGAGGACGAAGATGAAGACGACAACGACGACGACGACGACGACGACGACGAGGACGGAGAGGACGACGACGGGAAGGAAAAGATGGTAACGACCGCTGCAGAAGACGGGCGGATACAAAGCAGTTATGGATTTTGTTAGCAATTTAAGCTGTTGTTTTGTCTATTTTCGGTTAACACTGATCGGAGTGCTAAGTCGATGAAGAAATAAAACAAAAAATTGTAATATAATAAAAGTAATGAAATAAAAATAAAAGTTTTTCTCTCTGTCCTTAATTTTTTTGCTTTAGTTCATTCGTTTTTTTTTTTTTTTCCCCTTCTTTTGTACAATTATCACCACAACTGATGGCAATGTTTTTGAAGAAAGAACTAAAACTGAAAAAAAAAAAAACCTAGAATTTTTTTCCTTTTTTCCCCTTTCCTTTCTTTTCTCCTTTTTTAGCTTTTTTTTTCCACTTTTTTTCTTTTTTGGAAACTTTTTATTTTACCACCGTTTTCGTCAACCACAGACAATAGCAACTGAGAACAAAAAAGGCGAAAGCAAAACAAAACCAAAACAAAAAAAAAAAAAAAAAAAAAAA